ATTAGTTTAATTTATTTTTGCGATTTTAAAAAAAATAAATATGAAAAAAGATGTTTTGAGACACCTAAAAAGACTAATACAGTAAAAAATGACAAAGAAAGAAACAAAATAAAAAACTGTACCTAAAGATTTTTTCTGGAACTTCGGAATAAAGTGTTTATGTCAATAATTAACATTTTATAAAAGAAGAATTGAAATTTTGTGGTTCTTGTTTTATTTGTTACCTTTCCTTTCTTTATTTGACATGATTTAATATATTAATTTTGCAAATTTTGTCAGAAAAATAAATAGTAAAAAGAGATTGGAGGACAAAAGGGCTTATTTAGATTGTTATTTAGTAAAATGAGAGTTTTTACGTCATATTTTTTAATAAATAAACTAAAAAAACTAAATGTTTGTTATTTTATTTCTTCTTTTCTACCTCCATTCGACATAATTTAAGTAATTTTTCTATTTTTGACACAAAAAAACTATTTCACGACAAAAATATGTTTTAACAGAGATCTTTGCTTCAAAAAATTAGAAAAAAAGAAAAATTTAAATKTAGTGACTCCACTTTCCTGACCAAAATCGCAYCAACAAAAATTATTTAGTTCATGCTTTGAGAAAAAACATTTGTGTTTTTGCAAAATGTGCCCCTGAATGATTTATTCCACCGGCGAGCAGACAAGACCGTCAAAAATAAATCATTGCTGTTCTTGATGATCGTAATTTTATGCAAAATACTGGCCTATCGATTCAATACACAAGCAAGTAAATTTGGTTTACCTATTATTATCGTGATCATAACATAGAGAAAATTCATATGAAACTGATAATGGAATGATATTTTGAATTAATTAGTGTTGTGAAATTATTAGATATCCCCTTGCCCTCCCTGTCCAAACAACAATTTGCATATGTTCGAAACGCAACTGACTATATTTATGTTAGAATCTACATCGATGTATCTCGTCATCTGGATATTATGTTATGTTTCATTAAACTACCTTTGACAACCGACGCTCTTATAATTTTGTTGCCGTATTGATCTGCAAGCTTCGGATGACACATTTGACCAATGTTTTTTGAACACATTCGAAAAAAAACAATTTTTTATTCATCCATCAGCAGCGAAGCAAAACTTATGAAACTCTAAAACGTAAAAAAAACAACTCAAAACTACAGCACTTTTGGAGCTTATAGAAAAATGATAAGAATAAATTGACAATGTTACTGTTGTCAACACACAAAAACAAACATTTAGTTTTTATACGTTCGAATTTAGTTGCCAAATTTCATGATTAAAGATCTTTTTTGAAGCACGAAAAACTTGTTTAATTTTAAAATTTGCAACACGTAAAACTACTGTGGATAGCAGGTATAGCTTTTTAATTGTCTCAATTTTTTTTTGAAAGTTGAATTCAAATCTGAAATTAGGGTAACTACGGGATAGATGGACCCATGGGCGTCGTTACACTTTTTTTTAGAGAGGGGCAACCTCATCGCAGTTTAAAAATATATATTTTATTATAAACACAAAAACATGTTACACAAAATAGGAACATAAAACCTTATTTTTTCTAGCGGAAATTATAAATGAAACTATAAGACAGGAATCTCTAAAACCATAAATTGGAGTACAAAAGTGTAAAAGTTAAAAAAAATATAAAAAATAAAAAAATATAAAAACTATAAAAGTTATGCATAAAATAACACAAATCAGTAAATAACATGAACTARTAAATACTAAGAAAAATGTTACACTTGGAAATCAAAACATAAAATAAAAACTCTTTCAAAATACATTCAAAAAAACAATAATCAATAGAAATAAAAAAATTAAAGAAATAAAAGTTTTAAATTTTGTTTTTCTCAACCAAAATCGTCTATGATAAAAAAGTTAAAAAATGTTTAAAAAAAATGTTAGCTATTTATGCAACAAGTTGCAAAATGAGTGTGTTTTTTACTAGACGTGTGCTATAAACGCCATTTTGAATCGTGTTTTATACAAGATTTTTTCCAATTTGGTTGTGAAAAGCATAGGCATTAAATTGGAATTTAAAATATGTGATTTCAATAATAACATACAAAAAACACAGTCTTGTGTAAAAGTGTATAAATCTCCSTTTGGTCCATCTCTYCCGGATTTACCMTTTGACCCGCGATCATGGAATTCCGTCTATTTTTATTTGTGGCAAAAGTTTGTGGTATGACAGCGGAGGAAGMAAATTTTAATTAAAATATATTATAAGCATATTTAAAATCAGTTGGTATATTTAATATAGCAAAGTTTGCAAACTTATTCGTCGGAAGCTTGGAAAAGAATTTTTAATTGCATTAAAATATTGTATATTAGTAATGAGAACTTCTTTTATTACTTAGCCGAACTTTGAAACTCCAAGTATGGTTGAAATTTTTAATATATTTGAATTAAATGCAATCCGCGTTCGTTATTAAATTTGTAAACATTTTTTTTCCACGTAATTATTTATTGGCAGTTTCGTTAATTTCTCTTCTTTGCCATTATGGAAAAGTGGATAAATTTCAGCAGTTGTAATTTTGCCCGTTTCAGCAGCAATCCGCCGAGTTGAATTTTTTTTATTTACATTGAAGGAAAAGGCCATTAGTTTTAAAATTAAAATATACATCACTCGCGGATACCGAAGCAAAAACAAATGGCTCCCCGTTTCTTACAATATTACACTATGAAATTTATGATAAGTTATAAAGAACGGGGCTACATTCGCCATTAGCGCGGGAACTTTACTTTTTTATCGTTGGCCACAATGTTGACTGTTGTAAAGACGTGTTGACTCTTGCAGATTTATATTTTTACTAGTTCGAGTTTCGGTTTTTACTCACGCCCCTTTCGAAATGAACTTTAAATGTTTATTGCTCCGAGAGTTTTCAGCTAAATTGCATGAAAACATTGCTGGAAATTTTCCAGAAAACAACCCAATGTAAATTTCCACCAAATCGCTCAAGATATTTAAATTATTGTTCGTTAGCAAAATTAAACAAAATTAATACCTTCATGACCAGTGTTTGTGTACTTCAGCTAAATAATTACTGTCATAGGGAATTCATACATGATTTGCGGACAAAAAAAATTTCACGCTCAAGATTTTAAAAATTTGTAATTTTTATATTTGTAATTAAAAACAACAGAGCWATAAATAAGTGGTATTGTAAGTAAGTAAAATACACTAAAATAAATAGAGACAACGTGTAGAATTTAAACTCTCATAACTTTAAAATTTTTATAGATGGAATTATTGTAACACTTTTTCCATGTTCTTGGTATCTCACTTTGCATGACAATGAAGCAAAAATGGCAGAGAAAAAAAGACGAAAGTGAAAATTTTGCAATTYTTTGTTGTTTCCAGAATTTTGTCTTTTTTAAGTTACTTTTTGGTCTTTTTCTCTATCTTCTCGACACAAAAAAATTAATTGCAAAATACAGTGAAGGACAAAAGGGCTCTATCAGGATATAAAAAAGAATATTTTCAAATATTGCAGAAAATGATAAAGAAAAGAAAATTTTTCAATTTGGCCTTGTTTCTAAAAGTTTTTTTGACGTGTTTATGCCCAAATACTTATATTTTATAGAAGCTTTTTTCAACGTTTTTTTGTTTTAATTGTCTTCTTTTTTACCTCCATGCGACATAATTTAGGTAATTTTGCTATATTTGACACAAAAAAAATAAGTTGAAAAAATGGAATTAGACGACAAAAGAGTTGTTGTAACAGAGATCTTTGGTTGAAAAAAATTAGAAAGAAAAAAATTTATATACCAAACGGCAATGGCAAAGAAATAATTTTAAGGAAATATTATTTTTGGTTTTTTACTTAGTGTTTTGTCGTTCTTCTTGTTTAATTAATTTAAATCATTTGTGCGATTAAAAAAAATATGAAAAAAAGATTGTTCTGTCATTTTTTTGACACCTTAAAGTAAAAAATGACAAAGAAAGAAACAAATATTTTTCTGAAACTTTGGATTAAGGTTATTTTGTCTAAATAATTAACGTTTTATAAAAGAAGTATTGAAATTTTGTAGTTCTTGCTTTATTTGTTTCCTTCCTTATCTTCATTTGACATGATTTAATAAATTAATTTTGCAATTTTCGACAGAAAAATAAATTGTAAAAAGATTGAAGGACGAAAGGATTTACTATGTATGGATTTTGAAATGCAGGTAGGTATGTCTTGGTTTAAAAAAATATGAAAAAAGAAAAAAATGTCAAGAAATGGCAATGAAATAGAAAATTTTACAGCTGCAGAAATATTAATTTAGGTTTTTTACTTATTATTTGTTAATTTGTTTTTGCGATTTTTGACGGAAAATGAAAATAAAAAAAATTAAAGGGAAAAAATGTTTTTTTATATTGTATCCCTTTTGAAATAGATAATTTTACCCTGAAATATTTAGATTGTTATTTAGTAAAATGCGAATTTTGTAGGAAGTAATTTTCAGCTCATTTAATTAAATAAATAAACCAAAAATACTAAATATTTGTTTACATATACACTTTTAGTTCTTTTACTTCAGCTAAATAATTGCTGTTATAGGAAAAAAAATTCCAGGCCCAAAATTTAAAAAATATGTAATTTTTATAAGGCAATTATTTGAGCTGCGAATTTAATTTCGATGCGCTGTTTGCTCTATTTGTAATTAAAAACAACCGAGCAATAAATAGGTAGTATGGTTCCGACATGAGGAAAAATTAATATTTCATTTCAATACTGAAAAAAGTAATAAAAACGTAATAATATTACATTGTTTTCGCTCAGAAATGATGATAAAATACCAGAAACGAACTTTGCAACCGTAAAAATGCAATTTTAATAGAAATACGGGTTATATCTGCGAAAACGCGATGGGTTTTTTCATCAGATTTTTCAGCAGGGAAATATATATGCGCTAAAAAGAAACTGGAACAATTTAATGAAAACTATAAAATAGCCGGAATGCGAATTTGCGTCCTAAATTATTAAAATTACTACTTGTTATTTTTCAGTTGACGCCCCATTTCGACATCGGGAACGCGCCAGAGGTGGAGGAAAAGAGTCTGGAAAAGGGATCTGCACCAACATTTTTTTTATTAATTAGAGACGGTAAGTTTTTATGGGGATAAATCACGGGTGGAAATGGAAAAATCTGGCTACTCTTCCATTAGTGTATTTTTTGATTTAAAACTTGTTCTTATTCCATTTGGCACTAAGCTAGTTTGAGAAGGCTTGTGTGCAAATCACCCCAGGGAAACTTTTAAACAGTCATTCCTTTCAGCAAATTCTCACTCAAGTTGGGGCGATCGATAAAATTAATTTTTGTTATTAACGATTATAATATATTACTCGGAAACACGTTAAGTTTTTCTTTAATTAATTCGCTCCGGAACCCGTTGAAATATCTCGGTTTTAATTTAATTAAGGAAAGTTACTTGAGTGTTTTTTTCCTCTCAGATTTTACACTTGTTTTCTTTCATAGGTCAATTTCAGACTTGTCAGAAATTAAGTCAAGTTTTTTTTACCAAATCAGAGTTTTTATGTGTTGGATTTGTTGTGAAACTATTCACGTCGAAACTACATTGTATTTTATTTGAATTTGTAAAATTTATTGTTATTACCTACATAAAGAGGAGTGGGTTTATTTTTCAGTGTGAGAGTTTGTGGCTTTGGGAAAAAATAAAAACTTTTAATATTGACACGAAAGCACGAGCTGATGTTGCAAAATTAAGCGTTATTACAATGGTGTTTTATTTGAAGCATCATCATTTCACAGTCATATTGCACGACTTAATCCTCGAAGAGCCAAGATTTTATGCTGGTAAATTATGTGTGTTAAATGAACAAACAAGAGCTTTAAAGTTGAATTTCATGGCTTCTTCCAGCGTCAATATCATACTTGTTTGAAATGTCAAAATGACTCGTAAAAATCTAAGCGCGAAAACAATTACTATTAAAGGTAAAGTTGGTCGTTGTGGGTGGTCATTTTCTGTAATTATTAAACACAAGTCTGGTGTAAAATTAACGTTAACAAGAGAACGCGATTCGATTATTAAACCACCATAACTTTCATAAAACATGCGTACACATGGACTTATTCAATCTCGTAAAAATTCTACTTTATAACTTTGCACAAGTGTTCAAATCAAACATTTATAAGCGACTACGTTCAGTTTACCAACTACATAAATTTCCACCTTWATCATTAATTAAGAAATTCTAACAAAGGTGGAAAAGTGACTGTTTTTATCAACTTGTGCAAGTCGSGTTTGCCGAACAAATTTCGTTTATTTTATCGAATTTATTTGTTTTGTGTTCTAAGCACTTTTTCAAACAATTATATGGCATAGATTAATTCCCAACTCGTTCATTTAAATAAACCCATAAAAGTTTACGACTACCACAATGTTGCCAGCTATTTTTGTGCACCTAAAACAATTCTGAATTAATTTTACATAAAATATAGAACGCAACTTCATCATAAATCAATTAATTCTGACAATAACGCCAAAAATATGTCTTGTGTGACTGCTATTAAGGAAATTTATTAAAATGTCTTTTTAACAATTAAATGACTTTATTTTATAACATATCACATTTACATTTTATCAGATGTTTGCTACTTTGTTGTATAATTATGTTAGTTACTATTGTTGGGTTATTTTAAAAGTATTACTTAATTGCAAGAAGTTTCAAGACAACAAAGCTACGATGAGACAAAATTATTAAATTCCGTTCTCATGTTCCTAATGCAATTAATCATTGTTGTAATTTTTTAAGAGAAAACATTAATTAACATTAGGAGACACCACAGACACTTAATGGGCCAGTTAAAGCCGCCTTTACACCTGCGATAACATTTTTGGAAAAATTTTGGAAAATTAACTTTAAAAAATCAAAACGTGGAAAACGACATATTGTCTCTGTAAACTGAAATTGACATTTCGATCTGTAAAATTGACATATCAATGAGTAAAATTTTTTCGTAAGACGTTTTGAAAGTAGCGGAATAGGCTTTAAAAATCAAAGTCAAAAACTAGAAATTATTGATATCAGTCTGTAAAATGGCACAAAACGTCTTTAAAAAATGAGTTTTAAAAAATCACAATCTAAAGGTGGTAGGAATTTTACGACAAATCGTAAAATTGACATTTTGATCCGTAAAATTGACATATTAGTCTATACATTTTTTATAGAAAACGTTCTGACATGACAAAATAAGCTTTAAAAACAACATTAAATGGTAGAAATTGTATGACATATTGTATCTGTAAAGAAAAATTGGCATTCCGTCTGTAAAATTGGCATTTTAATCTGTAAAATTGACATATCAGTCCATACATTTTTTATACAAAACGTTCTAAAATGACAAAAAAGCTTTAAAAATCAACATTAAAGGTGGAAATTGTACGACATATTGTATCTGTAAAGTAGAATTGACATTTTGTCTGTAAAATTTACATAGCGGTTTGTAAAGTAAAATTAACATTTTGATCCGTAAAATTGACATATCGGTCTGTAAAGTAAAATTGACATTTTAATCTGTAAAATTGATATATTAGTGTGTAAAATTTTTACACAGGATGTTTCAAAAGTAGCAGAATAAGCTATAAAAATCAAAGTCAAAAGCTAGAAATTATTGATATATGAAACTGTAAAATTACATAAAAGTCTTAAAAGAGGCAGAATGAGTTTAAAAAAATAGCAATCAGAAGGTGGTAGAAATTACACGACATATCGTATCTGTACAGTAAAATTGCCAGATCAATGTCACAATGTGTATAAAAAAAAAGTAAAATTTAAAAATATCTTTTCAGTGAATTTACATTACATAAAAATAGGAGGCAACTTTTGTTATCTTATTTTTCCTCCTATAAGTGAGAGAAGTGGAAATAACTTTTTTTTTAAACATTTGGAAAAAGTTATTATTTTTTTATCTACCTACTATCTCTAAACTTTATGTTTTGTGTAAGTAATTTTTTTTAAGAATAAATTGTTCACATTGTGTTTTTTATTAGACATCGAAAATATGGATTTAGTTACACAATATATTTTTAACTTTCACTACTAATATWTTTTTTTTAATTTTTAATTTTTTTTTTCCTTGTATTGATTGTCCATTTGTGGAATATTTTTTTACAACATGTAAAAACCACTCTGGTTTATGGTGCGTCTGAAAATGATTTTAATTTTCTCATGGACATCCGRGGTTCGATTGTCCCAAGGKCCCACACCTGTGTTCTTTCTGCTCTGTGGGGCTTGTCTTCTAGCCTGGGGCGCAACAGAGGGCTCAATTCCTTAACAAGTGTTTTTTTCAATCCAACTGTCATCACTTCTGTTGAAAAATTGATGAACGGAACAAGTGGGAATACCAGGAATATGTGAATTTCAGTTATTAATAAGAAATTTGAAAAAAAAAAGTATAGGGATTATTGATTGTGTTGCATGTCGGCTGTTTGTTCTAAAATCGAAGTGTTTGAGCATGTTGGGTCAATTACCCGCTTTGGAATATCAAATATTAGATAAGGTAATCTGCAAAATGAAAGATATTGGGTTTGGTGCGCTCCTGTGTTGAATAGACATGAGGGTAATGCATTAACAAATTGCTACAGTCCTTGCATTAATAGTTAACAAGAGGAATCAAACTCAGCAATAAGACAACGCGGGCAATCCTTCCTCAAGAAGAGGATCATAAATATTTCCTTGTGCATTGTAAATAACCCTAAACGCGCAGACTACAAACTTATGAATTATTTCGCTTCATTTATGCAATATTAAAGGTGCAATTTGAATAGAACTCGCTCTTCTATGCCAATCCGTTCGGTAAATAATTCAATTGTTTGAGAATGGCCTGAGAAATGGTGCCTTGGATGTATTGTTCAATATTAACATTGCTGTTTAAAGTACACTCTAAAGACGCTAATTTTATATCCTCCTATCGGCTTCACTCTTTGCCTGGCTTTATTCCAATCTTAATCATTTATTTAGCAAAATGCCCGCTTCATATTGTTCTTTGGGATTTAATTCGCACATACATTAGATCGCTCTGTAAGGAAAGTCACTTATTCATGAGGTATTTTCCTCTTTGATGTCTCAAAGAACATGTGCATAACATTTAAAAACGCTGCAACCTTAATCGATCCCAAAGACCGAAATGACAACCTGTAATTTTAACGATTTTCGTGTCTCTCTTTCTTCATAAACCCTAATTAAAAACGCCCGTCGTCACTTAGGCACGTCTATTAATGTTATATGAATATGGCTTAATTATAATTTACTAATTACAGGGTGAGTGTACAAATTTAAATCACTTAATTGCCGTTTGGCGGCCTACAAATCAATGCGTCAAACACGAGATTTGATTGACACACTTTTTGAACCAATCAATACGATTTTAGAAAAAAATTCTATAAATTGATTAGAAAATATAAAGTTTGTTTAGTTTTGTGTGTATTTCTATTTCGAACCAATCGCTATAAGTACAATAATAACATTTATTTGCCAATAATAAAAATATTTGTGCAGTAAAGAATCTAAATATAACGCGTGAGACGTGCTTTTATGCGCATATCAGACTGAATTAAACCATTATAATATTTAATCTTTGTTATTTTCATACATTTACTTGGATATTTTATGAGGCTGGGCTATAGGGTAACTCCGGTATGAAGTGTGCTGTGTTTTCATTTATCCGCAAACGTCACAAAAATGGCCACTTTTATGACTAAGTCTGAAACCGTTTCAGCCATGGAGTAAAAATTCTATTTTTGCACCTAAGCATTTTTACTTTTACCACATTTTGTCTCTTTCGCTGCTTCAGCAATTTCTAGATTTGACATTTTGCACTACTAACTGCACTAGTTAATTTAATAGATATGTACTTCCAAAAATCTCAACACAAATTCCGACACTGACGCGTTGTTATTATTTCATTACTTGCAAAGCGTCCTGATTATGAGAGAGTTTTTATCACACTTCCCTATACCTAAATTTAACCGTTTTTGAAATATTTAGACTTTTTTTCCAAAAATAGATAACTCTACAATTTTTGATCATTTTGAAATCGTATTTGGGCATATGAAAAAGAAAGATTAGATCTTTTATTTCGT